ACATAATACAGAACACAATCGAATCTTCCCATAGTAGGAAAGCAACATGTAAAGGATTTGGTAATAATGATGTCCGACGATCTAAATTTTAGAAAGCATAACCAAGCAAATATTGCGGCAGCCAGAAAAATGATACTATGGATTACCAGAAGAGGGAGTACAGAGAACATATACGGCACGCATAGACGAGATAAAGCACCTAAATTATTGGGATCGTCTCAAAGCCCTCAATTTGTACTCACTAGAAAGAAGACGAGAGAGATACCAAATAATATACACCTGGAAGATACAGGAGGGCCAAGTACCAAATCTACACAGTAAAATAACAACGTACTGGAGTGAACGATATGGAAGAAAATGCAGAATAGAACCAGTGAAGAGCAGAGGTGCCATAGGCACAATCAGAGAACACTGTATAAACATCAGAGGTCCGCGGTTGTTCAACATCCTCCCAGCGAGCATATGAAATATTGCCGGAACAACCGTGGACATCTTCAAGAGGAAACTAGACTGTTTCCTCCAAGGAGTGCCGGACCAACCGGGCTGTGGTGGGTATGTGGGCCTGCGGGCCGCTCCAAGCAACAGCCTGGTGGACCAAACTCTCACAAGTCAAGCCTGGCCTCGGGCCGGGCTTGGGGAGTAGAACAACTCCCAGAACCCCATCAACCAGGTACACACACCAGCAGCGGGGTACACACACACACACCAGCAGCGGGGTACACACACACACCAGCAGCGGGGTACACACACACACCAGCAGCGGGGTACACACACACACACCAGCAGCGGGGTACACACACCAGCAGCGGGGTACACACACACACCAGCAGCGGGGTACACACACACACCAGCAGCGGGGTACACACACACACCAGCAGCGGGGTACACACACACACCAGCAGCGGGGTACACACACCAGCAGCGGGGTACACACACCAGCAGCGGGGTACACACACACACCAGCAGCGGGGTACACACACACACCAGCAGCGGGGTACACACACACACCAGCAGCGGGGTACACACACCAGCAGCGGGGTACACACACACACACACACCAGCAGCGGGGTACACACACACCAGCAGCGGGGTACACACACACACAGCGGGGTACACACACAGCAGCGGGGTACACACACACACCAGTAGCGGGGTACACACACACACCAGCAGCGGGGTACACACACACACACCAGCAGCGGGGTACACACACACACACCAGTAGCGGGGTACACACACCAGCAGCGGGGTACACACACCAGCAGCGGGGTACACACACCAGCAGTGGGGTACACACACACACCAGCAGTGGGGTACACACACACACCAGCAGCGGGGTACACACACCAGCAGCGGGGTACACACACACACCAGTAGCGGGAGCTTACCGCAGGTAACCAAAATAGACTGACGGACACACGCGCGTGCACACGCACGCCCGGAGTTAACCCCCCTCCCCTCCTCACTCACACACACACACACACACACACACACACACACACACACACACACACACACACACACACACACACACACACACACACACAGGTAGTGTTGCCCCGTCTTGAGTACTGCTCAGTACTCACTTCCCCCTTCAGAGCAGGAGAGATTGCTGAAATAGAGGGAATACAGAGAACATATACGGCACGCATAGACGAGATAAAACCCTAAATTATTGGGATCGTCTCAAAGCTCTCCAAATGTACTCACTAGAAAGGAAACGAGAGAGATACCAAATAATATACACCTGGAAGATACTGGAGGGACAGGTCCCTAATCTACACAGTAAAATAACAACGTACTGGAGTGAACGATATGGAAGAAAATGCAGAATAGAACCAGTGAAGAGCAGAGGTGCCATAGGCACAATCAGAGAACACTGTATAAACATCAGAGGTCCAGTGAAGAGCAGAGGTGCCATAGGTACAATCAGAGAACACTGTATAAACATCAGAGGTCCAGTGAAGAGCAGAGGTGCCATAGGCACAATCAGAGAACACTGTATAAACATCAGAGGTCCGCGGTTGTTCAACGTCCTCCCAGCGAGCATAAGAAATATTGCCGGAACAACCGTGGACATCTTGAAGAGGAAACTAGATTGTTTCCTCCAAGGAGTGCCGGACCAACCGGGCTGTGGTGGGTATGTGGGCCTGTGGGCCGCTCCAAGCAACAGCCTGGTGGACCAAACTCTCACAAGTCAAGCCTGGCCTCGGGCCGGGCTTGGGCAGTAGAAGAACTCCCAGAACCCCATCAAACAGGTAAACCTCCCTCCTGTCACACACACACACAGGTAAACCTCCCTCCTGTCACACACAGGTAAACCTCCCTCCTGTCACACACAGGTAAACCTCCCTCCTGTCACACAGGTAAACCTCCCTCCTGTCACACACAGGTAAACCTCCCTCCTGTCACACACAGGTAAACCTCCCTCCTGTCACACACACACAGGTAAACCTCCCTCCTGTCACACACAGGTAAACCTCCCTCCTGTCACACACACAGGTAAACCTCCCTCCTGTCACACACACACAGGTAAACCTCCCTCCTGTCACACACACAGGTAAACCTCCCTCCTGTCACACACACACAGGTAAACCTCCCTCCTGTCACACACACACAGGTAAACCTCCCACCTGTCACACACACACATGTAAACCTCCCTCCTGTCACACAGGTAAACCTCCCTCCTGTCACACACACAGGTAAACCTCCCTCCTGTCACACACACACAAGTAAACTTCCCTTTTGTCACACACAGGTAAACCTCCCTTTTGTCATTCACAGGTAAACCTACCTTTTGTCACTCACAGGTAAACCTCCCTTTTGTCACACAGGTAAACCTCCCTTTTGTCACTCACAGGTAAACCTCCCCTTTGTCACTCACAGGTAAACCTCCCCTTTGTCACTCACAGGTAAACGTCCTGCCTGTCACTCACAGGTAAACGTCCTGCCTGTCACTCACAGGTAAACGTCCTGCCTGTCACTCACAGGTAAACCTCCTGCCTGTCACTCACAGGTAAACCTCCTACCTGTCACTCACAGGTAAACCTCCTACCTGTCACTCACAGGTAAACCTCCTGTCTGTCACAGGTAAACCTCCTGCCTGTCACTCACAGGTAAACCTCCTGCCTGTCACTCACAGGTAAACCTCCTGCCTGTCACTCACAGGTAAACCTCCTGCATGTCACTCACAGGTAAACCTCCTGCATGTCACACAGGTAAACCTCCCTTTTGTCACACAGGTAAACATCTAGTTTGTCACACACAGGTAAACCTCCCTTTTGTCACTCACAGGTAAACCTCTAGTTTGTCACTCACAGGTAAACCTCCCTTTTGTCACTCACAGGTAAACCTCCCTTTTGTTACTCACAGGTAAACCTCTTTTGTCACACACAGGTAAACCTCCTGCCTGTCACTCACAGGTAAACCTCCTGCATGTCACTCACAGGTAAACCTCCTGCATGTCACACAGGTAAACCTCCCTTTTGTCACACAGGTAAACATCTAGTTTGTCACACACAGGTAAACTTCCCTTTTGTCACTCACAGGTAAACCTCTAGTTTGTCACTCACAGGTAAACCTCCCTTTTGTCACTCACAGGTAAACCTCCCTTTTGTCACACACAGGTAAACCTCCTGCCTGTCACTCACAGGTAAACCTCCTGCCTGTCACTCACAGGTAAACCTCCTGCCTGTCACTCACAGGTAAACCTCCTGCCTGTCACTCACAGGTAAACCTCCCTCCTCACGGTGTTCCCGACGCAAAAATGCACCATTTGCAGGGTGTACCAGGAGCCTGCAGCAGCCTGCAGGGTGTACCAGGAGCCTGCAGCAGCCTGCAGGGTGTACCAGGAGCCTGCAGCAGCCTGCAGGGTGTGCCAGGCGCCTGTCGGAGCCTGCAGGGTGTGCCAGGCGCCTGTCGGAGCCTGCAGGGTGTGCCAGGAGCCTGCAGCAGCCTGCAGGGTGTGCCAGGCGCCTGCAGCAGCCTGCAGGGTGTGCCAGGCGCCTGTCGGAGCCTGCAGGGTGTGCCAGGCGCCTGTCTTAGCCTGCAGCAGCCTGCAGGGTGTGCCAGGCGCCTGTCGAAGCCTGCAGCAGGCTGCAGGGTGTGCCAGGCGCCTGTCGGAGCCTGCAGCAGCCTGCAGGGTGTGCCAGGCGCCTGTCGGAGCCTGCAGGGTGTGCCAGGAGCCTGTCGAAGCCTGCAGCAGCCTGCAGGGTGTGCCAGGCGCCTGTCGGAGCCTGCAGCAGCCTGCAGGGTGTGCCAGGCGCCTGTCGGAGCCTGCAGGGTGTGCCAGGAGCCTGTCGAAGCCTGCAGCAGCCTGCAGGGTGTGCCAGGCGCCTGTCGGAGCCTGCAGGGTGTGCCAGGCGCCTGTCGGAGCCTGCAGCAGCCTGTCGGAGCCTGCAGCAGCCTGTCGGAGCCTGCAGGGTGTGCCAGGCGCCTGTCGGAGCCTGCAGCAGCCTGCAGGGTGTGCCAGGCGCCTGTCGGAGCCTGCAGCAGCCTGCAGGGTGTGCCAGGCGCCTGTCGGAGCCTGCAGCAGCCTGCAGGGTGTGCCAGGCGCCTGTCGGAGCCTGCAGCAGCCTGCAGGGTGTGCCAGGCGCCTGTCGGAGCCTGCAGCAGCCTGCAGGGTGTGCCAGGCGCCTGTCGGAGCCTGCAGCAGCCTGCAGGGTGTGCCAGGCGCCTGCAGGGTGTGCCAGGAGCCTGTAGGGTGCCGGTGCAGGCCGCCAAACGCCACACAGTTGAGTGTTGCAGTGTTGGAGGGGGTTGGTGAGGGGGCCCCGGAGCGAGCGTAGCGCCACACACGCGCCTCACCTGCACATCTCTCCACCACACACACTCCCCACCACCACCAGCTGGGGGTCAGGGCCCCCCATCACCCCTGCCCACCACACACACAGGTCACACACCTGACGTAGGCCTGCCCCCGGGGTGCCGTGTAGGCCTCACACAACATGTGATGTGCTCAGGCTGGCTGAGTGGCCCGGCTCCCGCCCTCTCTCACTCACCTTCTTCATAATTCCGGTTTTCCTCTTGGAAAATGTTGTGTATCTTCTGAGTTTGTTGTCAATAAACTCCATCTTGATCTTGACGCGGCCCTTGGTCTTCTTGCCGTTGGGGAGCGTCTTGGCCTGCTGCTGGCCGCCGTCAAGGGCAGTCTGGTGGTGCAGCAGAGACTCCCTGCTCGACGACGCGTTCATCTTGTCGTCCTTCTTGAGGAGGTCGGAGTCGTCGTCGGAGGAGAGGCCGAGGGGCTCACGGTCGAGGCCGGCGTCGTGGGCGGACCTCTTCATGCCCACCAGGCCGCCCATGCCGCCCATGGCAGCGTTCATGTGCGGCTGCGAGAACAGCTCGGGGTCGAAGCTCCCGAAATTCATGGCAAACTTATCGTCAACGCTGTTATGGCTCTGGTTTTGCATCTTGGAAGGCTCACTAGACGGTGAGAAAACACATATTTGAGTGTACACCAAGGGTGGCGACGCTGAGGGTGGCACCACACAGACGGGACGCTAGCGCACCTCCCCGCTCCCCGGCCACAACACGACTGGACATAAACACCGCTACACAGCTGATCTCTCGTGCCGCGCTACTCACACCTGCCGCCGCTCCTCCGCCGCCTCAACAGCTTCCTCATATATAACGCCTCATATTCCCCTATAACAACCACTACCACCAACAACCTCACTTATAACCCGTATATCCAATAAGATTTCATACAAAAGTTTCAACAATATACGCGTAAAAACCCGTAATAAGGCCAGCGGCAGAATACATATTGTGATCAGTGTAATGGCTGAGTTTGCCATATAAGGTAACCATCAGAGCCTAATATGGCATAGCCTCCAAAAGTGGAAGTTAGGCCCCGCCCCCCCCCGTCAGTTGCCACCATGTATACTACACTCGTGGTGACTTACCAGCCTCCAGGACAGTTGCCACCATGTATACTACACACGCGGTGACTTACCAGCCTCCAGGACAGTTGCCACCATGTATACTACACACGCGGTGACTTACCAGCCTTCAGGACAGTTGCCACCATGTATACTACACACGCGGTGACTTACCAGCCTCCAGGACAGTTGCCACCATGTATACTACACACGCGGTGACTTACCAGCCTCCAGGACAGTTGCCACCATGTATACTACGCACGAGGTGACTTACCAGCCTCCAGGACAGTTGCCACCATGTATACTACACTCGTGGTGACTTACCAGCCTCCAGGACAGTTGCCACCATGTATACTACACTCGTGGTGACTTACCAGCCTCCAGGATAGTTGCCACCATGTATACTACACACGCGGTGACTTACCAGCCTCCAGGACAGTTGCCACCATGTATACTACACACGCGGTGACTTACCAGCCTCCAGGACAGTTGCCACCATGTATACTACACTCGTGGTGACTTACCAGCCTCCAGGACAGTTGCCACCATGTATACTACACTCGTGGTGACTTACCAGCCTCCAGGACAGTTGCCACCATGTATACTACACATGCGGTGACTTACCAGCCTCCAGGACAGTTGCCACCATGTATACTACACACGCGGTGACTTACCAGCCTCCAGGACAATTGCCACCATGTATACTACACTCGTGGTGACTTACCAGCCTCCAGGACAGTTGCCACCATGTATACTACACATGCGGTGACTTACCAGCCTCCAGAACAGTTGCCACCATGTATACTACACACACCGTGACTTACCAGCCTCCAGGACAGTTGCCACCATGTATACTACACATGCGGTGACATACCAGCCTCCAGGACAGTTGCCACCATGTATACTACACTCGTGGTGACTTACCAGCCTCCAGGACAGTTGCCACCATGTATACTACACTCGTGGTGACTTACCAGCCTCCAGGACAGTTGCCGCCATGTATACTACACATGCGGTGACTTACCAGCCTCCAGGACAGTTGCCACCATATATACTACACACGCGGTGACTTACCAGCCTCCAGGACAGTTGCCACCATGTATACTACACTCGTGGTGACTTACCAGCCTCCAGGACAGTTGCCACCATGTATACTACACATGCGGTGACTTACCAGCCTCCAGGACAGTTGCCACCATGTATACTACACACACCGTGACTTACCAGCCTCCAGGATAGTTGCCACCATGTATACTACACATGCAGTGACTTACCAGCCTCCAGGACAGTTGCCACCATGTATACTACACACGCGGTGACTTACCAGCCTCCAGGACAGTTGCCACCATGTATACTACACACGTGGTGACTTACCAGCCTCCAGGACAGTTGCCACCATGTATACTACACACACCGTGACTTACCAGCCTCCAGGACAGTTGCCACCATGTATACTACACATGCAGTGACTTACCAGCCTCCAGGACAGTTGCCACCATGTATACTACACATGCGGTGACTTACCAGCCTCCAGGACAGTTGCCACCATGTATACTACACACACCGTGACTTACCAGCCTCCAGGACAGTTGCCACCATGTATACTACACATGCGGTGACTTACCAGCCTCCAGGACAGTTGCCACCATGTATACTACACACGCGGTGACTTACCAGCCTCCAGGACAGTTGCCACCATGTATACTACACTCGTGGTGACTTACCAGCCTCCAGGACAGTTGCCACCATGTATACTACACATGCGGTGACTTACCAGCCTCCAGGACAGTTGCCACCATGTATACTACACACACCGTGACTTACCTGGCTCCAGGACAGTTGCCACCATGTATACTACACATGCGGTGACTTACCTGCCTCCAGGACAGTTGCCACCATGTATACTACACACGCGGTGACTTACCAGCCTCCAGGACAGTTGCTACCATGTATACTACACATGCGGTGACTTACCAGCCTCCAGGACAGTTGCCACCATGTATACTACACTCGTGGTGACTTACCAGCCTCCAGGACAGTTGCCGCCATGTATACTACACATGCGGTGACTTACCAGCCTCCAGGACAGTTGCCACCATATATACTACACACGCGGTGACTTACCAGCCTCCAGGACAGTTGCCACCATGTATACTACACTCGTGGTGACTTACCAGCCTCCAGGACAGTTGCCACCATGTATACTACACATGCGGTGACTTACCAGCCTCCAGGACAGTTGCCACCATGTATACTACACACACCGTGACTTACCAGCCTCCAGGATAGTTGCCACCATGTATACTACACATGCAGTGACTTACCAGCCTCCAGGACAGTTGCCACCATGTATACTACACACGCGGTGACTTACCAGCCTCCAGGACAGTTGCCACCATGTATACTACACACGTGGTGACTTACCAGCCTCCAGGACAGTTGCCACCATGTATACTACACACACCGTGACTTACCAGCCTCCAGGACAGTTGCCACCATGTATACTACACATGCAGTGACTTACCAGCCTCCAGGACAGTTGCCACCATGTATACTACACATGCGGTGACTTACCAGCCTCCAGGACAGTTGCCACCATGTATACTACACACACCGTGACTTACCAGCCTCCAGGACAGTTGCCACCATGTATACTACACATGCGGTGACTTACCAGCCTCCAGGACAGTTGCCACCATGTATACTACACACGCGGTGACTTACCAGCCTCCAGGACAGTTGCCACCATGTATACTACACTCGTGGTGACTTACCAGCCTCCAGGACAGTTGCCACCATGTATACTACACATGCGGTGACTTACCAGCCTCCAGGACAGTTGCCACCATGTATACTACACACACCGTGACTTACCTGGCTCCAGGACAGTTGCCACCATGTATACTACACATGCGGTGACTTACCTGCCTCCAGGACAGTTGCCACCATGTATACTACACACGCGGTGACTTACCAGCCTCCAGGACAGTTGCTACCATGTATACTACACATGCGGTGACTTACCAGCCTCCAGGACAGTTGCCACCATGTATACTACACACGTTGTGACTTACCAGCCTCCAGGACAGTTGCCACCATGTATACTACACATGCGGTGACTTACCTGCCTCCAGGACAGTTGCCACCATGTATACTACACACGTGGTGACTTACCAGCCTCCAGGACAGTTGCCACCATGTATACTACACATGCGGTGACTTACCAGCCTCCAGGACAGTTGCCACCATGTATACTACACACACCGTGACTTACCAGCCTCCTGGACAGTTGCCACCATGTATACTACACACGCGGTGACTTACCAGCCTCCAGGACAGTTGCCACCATGTATACTACACTCGTGGTGACTTACCAGCCTCCAGGACAGTTGCCGCCATGTATACTACACATGCGGTGACTTACCAGCCTCCAGGACAGTTGCCACCATGTATACTACACACGCGGTGACTTACCAGCCTCCAGGACAGTTGCCACCATGTATACTACACTCGTGGTGACTTACCAGCCTCCAGGACAGTTGCCACCATGTATACTACACATGCGGTGACTTACCAGCCTCCAGGACAGTTGCCACCATGTATACTACACACATCGTGACTTACCTGGCTCCAGGACAGTTGCCACCATGTATACTACACATGCGGTGACTTACCTGCCTCCAGGACAGTTGCCACCATGTATACTACACACGCGGTGACTTACCAGCCTCCAGGACAGTTGCTACCATGTATACTACACATGCGGTGACTTACCAGCCTCCAGGACAGTTGCCACCATGTATACTACACACGTTGTGACTTACCAGCCTCCAGGACAGTTGCCACCATGTATACTACACATGCGGTGACTTACCTGCCTCCAGGACAGTTGCCACCATGTATACTACACACGTGGTGACTTACCAGCCTCCAGGACAGTTGCCACCATGTATACTACACATGCGGTGACTTACCAGCCTCCAGGACAGTTGCTACCATGTATACTACACACGCGGTGACTTACCAGCCTTCAGGACAGTTACCACCATGTATACTACACACGCGGTGACTTACCAGCCTCCAGGACAGTTGCCACCATGTATACTACACACGCGGTGACTTACCAGCCTCCAGGACAGTTGCCACCATGTATACTACGCACGAGGTGACTTACCAGCCTCCAGGACAGTTGCCACCATGTATACTACACATGCGGTGACTTACCAGCCTCCAGGACAGTTGCCACCATGTATACTACACTCGTGGTGACTTACCAGCCTCCAGGATAGTTGCCACCATGTATACTACACACGCGGTGACTTACCAGCCTCCAGGACAGTTGCCACCATGTATACTACACACGCGGTGACTTACCAGCCTCCAGGACAGTTGCCACCATGTATACTACACTCGTGGTGACTTACCAGCCTCCAGGACAGTTGCCACCATGTATACTACACTCGTGGTGACTTACCAGCCTCCAGGACAGTTGCCACCATGTATACTACACATGCGGTGACTTACCAGCCTCCAGGACAGTTGCCACCATGTATACTACACACGCGGTGACTTACCAGCCTCCAGGACAATTGCCACCATGTATACTACACTCGTGGTGACTTACCAGCCTCCAGGACAGTTGCCACCATGTATACTACACATGCGGTGACTTA